TCTGACCTCCACTGGCACTGCACGACACAGGTGCATTTACATTCATACAGGCAATACACTCATACACATAAAATTATAAATAAAACATTTAAAAATATTTTAAAATAAAAATGGAACCAACTTACCAACTTCAGGAGGGTTACTATGAGAACATGGAAGAAGGAATATCAAGTATATACTACAATGCTGAGGATAATGCTATTAGCATAGCTACATATTAGACACATGCATAAGGAATGGTCCCAAGAACTTGGGGCAACACAAAAATCTAGTAAAGCTACCATGTCATCACAAATGGATGAGTAATACTTTTAGATTTTCTCTCCCACCTCTATAAAGTAGAAAATCAAAAGCTAAATAATATAAAGAGGTCTTGGGATTAAAAAATATTACATTTATTTATTTATTTTATGTATGTATGTATGTATGTATGTATGTACGCACGCACATGAGGAGATCAGAGGACACCTTGTGGTAGTAGTTTTCTTCCACCATGTGGGTCCTGAACATCAAACTCTAGTCATTAGGCTTGGAGTGTCTTTACCCACTAAGCCATCTTGTTAACCCATGGACTTTTTTTCTTGCATTAAAAATAGCTATTGGTGTTTTCTTCATCCCTTCTTTTCCGCTTTCCTTCCTTCTCTTCCTATTTTTTTTTTTTTTTGGTGGGGACTGAAAGAACAAGGTCTTACATAGTCAAGGCTAACTTAAACTTACTATGCACTACTATGACTCTGAACTTCTGTTCCTTCTACCTCCACCTTCCAAAAGAGTCTTTCATTTACTGCTGTAAAGGTGCACAGTGAGGGCTAACAAGATGGTTCAGCAGGTAAAGGTGCTTGCCACCAAGTCTAATGACCTGAGGTCAATCCTTGGAACCCAAAGGTGGAAGGAGAGAGCCAATTCTCACAAGCTGTCCTCTGACCTCCACATACAGGCCATGACACACACGCCAACACACACACACACACACACACACACACACACACACACACAGAGGCATGCACATACAAAATAAAATGTAACTTAAGAAATCAAGAGTAAATAAAAGTTTTAAAAAGTTTTTAAAAGGTACACAGTGAGATTTAAAAATCATGCTTAGATTTCAACATTTCAAAGCATTCTGTGCAAAGGAAATATGGTTAAAGATGGGTGGAAGAGATCATTGTTAAAGCACAGAAAACAAGGATGGTTAGGAAGGTTAAACTGTAGTTTAAAGACCAACATGTTTGCTATTTGTAAGGAAAGCCGGGGGTATTACTCACTGCTTAAGGCGCACACACGCGGCACTTCAAATGTCAGTTACTTCCGGTCCACTTGCTCAGACCGCACAACTTTCCTCTTTGTGTGTTTCAGTTTGCAAGCACACGCATGCTTTGAATCACTACAATACACTGCAAAATTACCTCAGATAAAAGCAGCTTATAATCTTCTCATTTTGCTGGTCATCTTTCATGTCTAGTTTTAAAATAAAGGAAAACATGCACACCCAAGCACAGTTCCAGAACACAAATAAATGCTTATCTAAAGCTGTACTAATCATTTGAATACCATTTAAAAAATTTTAAGTTGGGCTGGAGAGATGGCTCAGCAGTTAAGAGCACTGACTGCTCCCAGCACCCACATGGCAGCTAACAACCATCCATAACTCTAGTTCCAGGGGAATCTGAGGCCCTCTTCTGACCTCTGCAGACACTGCATGACACGGGTACACTTACAGACATGCAGGCAATATACTCATACACATAAAATAAAAACATAAAAATTTTTTAAACATCTGAATTTAGTAGTGCAGTGGGTGTTCCAGTTGTTGGGAGAAGGTTGTTTTTTCATTTGTTTGCTTTTTATAGTGCTGGAGATCAAACCAACAGCCTTATGCATGCCAGGCAAGCACTGCAACCCTAGCTCTACAATTGATTTTTATTTACATTCCTTTTGACTTCAAATAATGTCATGTATTGTCTACGGGTGCATAAGTTTCAGTAATTTTTTGCTGTGTTCTTGTTTGAGACAGGGTCTCAAGTAGCACAGGCTAGCTTCAAACTCACAAGACAGTGGAAAATAACCTTCCTACCTCCACCTCCTAAATGCTGGGATTACAGGCATGGGCAGCCATGCCTGGATATATTTTTTTAATTATTTATTTAATAACCATATAATTAGAAGAAGCATTTTATTACAACAGCATTGACATATTCAATACCAATTTCCAGAGCTAAGATGCATCTCTTTCAAAATTGGCTGTAAATTTTTAGGTTTACAGTTGAATTAATACAGTTATAAAATATTGTGCTCAGTATAAGCCCTATAAGAAAACACCCACTGCACTACTACAATAATTTTATAACCACCTTCTATTGCTATAGGAGTGCACGCAAGTGTTGTGATGATGCATGTACAATGACAACATGTGATGCTTATTATCCCCACGGAGAAAGTTCTCTCTCCAGCAAGTTGCATATCTCAGTAGAACGAGATCTTGTATGTTTGAGTACTTTGTTCCCAGCTGGTAGCACTGTGTTGGAAGGCTGTGAAAGCTTTAAGAAGTACGGCCAGCTTGAGAAAGTGGATAACTGGAGGGTGGGCCTTGAGGTTTACATTCCAGCCTTGCATTTGGCTTTCTCTCTGCTTCCTAACCCACCCAGATGTGAGCAATCTCTGGCCACCATGGTTTTCCAGCCATGATAAACTGTACCCCTTCAGTGAGCCAAAATCAATCCTTCCTCCCTTTAAAAAAGTGATTTCCTAAGTAGTTCTTGAGTATTTCCCATCATTCATAATCTACACAACACACAAAATACGTATTAATAGATGTTTATATTAGCAACAGGGAGGGCTTCTGTTCAATAGCAGGGTATTAGAAGTTTTTGAGGGACCAAATTTCTACACAGATTTTTGACTGCATGGAGAGTTGAAGTCCTAACCTCCTGTGTTATTCCCCAGTCAGCTGCATAAGGAGTGCTTGTTTATTTGTGATACTAAGTCATTTTATTTTTATAAAATATTTTATTAAAGAAATCTGAATTTAATTCAGAAACTTTAAATTTTTTTTTTTTTTTGTCTTTTTGAGACAAGGTCTCCCTGTAGCTGCAGCTGGCCTGGATTCACTAATGGAGACCAGGCTGGCCTCGAAGTCACAGAGATCCACCTGCCTCTGCCTCCTGAGTGCTGGGATTAAAGGTGTGTGCCACCACACCTGGCAGAAACTTTAATTTTTAATCAAAATGCTATTTGCATCAATAATTCTTTTTTAAAAATTACTTATTTTTATGTGTACGAGTATATTTTGCCTGCATGTACGTAGGTGCACCCATGTCATACAGTGCCTGTGGAGGTTAGAAGAGGGCATCAGATTCTCTGGAACTAGAGTTACAGACGGTATGTAACGGTCATGTGGGTGTTGGGAACTAAATCTTGAGTCCTTTGTAAGAGCAGCCAGTGCTCTTAACTGCTGAGGCAACTCTGAAGCCCTGCATTAATAATCCTTTTCTTGCTTGTTTGGGGTTTTTTTTGAGACACAGTCTTTCTGTATGTTCCCAGTCGGCCTGGAACTTACTATAGGCAAAGCTGGCCTCGATCTCATTAATGTCAAAAAATATATTAGCATGCTGTCTGACAAAAACAAGACAAAACAAAACAGAAAAACCCCAAAAGCCTAAAACCAACTGCTGTTCTCTCAAAATCTAGTCAGGGCTTTGCACACAGGAAATGTGGAGATTTAGCAATGCTCTCTCCCTAAGTACCCGCCTTGGTATAGCAGAAATGAATTCAGGCTGGGTTTCCTGGAAGACAGAGGAAGTGTGTTATTACAGATGAGTAGCTGGTAGCAGTCTTCCCATCAGAAAATTCCACCAGCACTATTCAGGTTGTTTTAAGCACCTCGTGGCAGGCTTTAATGCCAATTTAATGCCAGCTAAAGGGCTTTTTAAGGAAAGACTACCCTGGGAGCGTCCATAGTTAGGACTTGATGTGGTGGACAACCGAGAGCATTCTGGAAAATAGGGTACTGCTTCCATGTCAGCTATCATAAAGCCAAAGATGGATAAGTGGAGTCAGAGGAGGGCCCCAGAGTAGTGTTGGATGCATGGTTTGACTTCATGCCTGGTCCCCTCTACCATTCTAGAGCTCAAAACCAGTAAATACAGATTATCTGCAAAAAATGAAAATGAGATAATTATGCCTAGAATCAGGGCCAGTGAGATGGCTCAATGGATAAAAGTGCTGCACCATGAGCCTGACCATCTGAGTTTGGTCCTTGGAACCCACAGTAGAAGCAGTTGTCCTTTGACCTCCATATGTACAGGGTTACACATGTATATCTGCACTTAATCTTTCTCTCACATATACACTAATGTCAAATAAAATAAAAATTTAAGAGTATCCTAGTTTAAACAATTTAAAAAATTAGGATGTACACTTCAGGGGCAATGCAGAGAATAGCTCTGCAGCATGGATTTTTTTTTTTTTTTTTTTTTTTTTTTTTTTTTTTGTCTTTTTGAGACAGGGTCTCCCAGTAGCCCCAGCTGGCCTGGAACTCACTATGTAGACCAGGCTGGCCTTGAACTCACAGAGATCCACCTGCCTCTGCCTCCCAAGTGTTGGGATTAAAGGTATGTGCCACCACGCCCAGCATAGCATGGATTTTTTTAACTAGAAAATTTCAATTATGTTTTTGTCTGCCTTGTTATCTCTGGGGGTCCTGTGGTAATAACATGACCATGCTAAATCAGTGATGTGCTATATGCAGATAGCAGGCACTATTCCTCAGTCAGTTGTGTATATGATTACCTCATTTAATGCATGTATTCTAAGTAGGCGCTATTATCTACCCCATTTTGCAGGAGAGGAACTGAAGAACAGAACCCTTCAGTGTCTCATCAATGTCTCAAACCTAGGCAGTGGCCCAGAGGCAAATTTTACAAGAAAACAAAACAACAACTGTAGTGAGATTTGCTAAACTTTATTGAAACTTAAGTTTTCTAGTAATAAAGCATTCTTACCTCTGGCTTGCTGAGGCTAGATGAAACCAAGGAGCCAGATCCCACATCCAAATCCCACTGCTTTTTCCCATGATTCTCAGCATCCAAGGCAGCAATTCGTCCATCTAGAGTACTGATAATTACTAAGGATCTGTAAATCAAGAACGAATAGGAGAAAATTGGAAAGCTACTCAAGACACTGTACACTGAAGAAAACAAGTCCCTCTCAGGCCTATGGTAAGAAGGACGAAGAGAGGCCACCACCGATCGACACTTAATGGTCTTGCCAGCACAACCTGTCTTTAGAGCAACACAATTTCAATATGCCCTTTATCTGTTTAAGTATTTTATAAAAAGCCCCAAATTCCTAGATCTTGCCTCCTTCTACACCCTAGTTACCAGAAGAATCTCAAGTTCCTTGGCTCTGTCCTGTCCTCCCACCTCTCCCCATCTCTGGAGAGGCAATCCTTTGCAACATACTCTGCCCCAAACATTCCTGTGTATGTAATGCATGCACAGGGTGTGTGGGGTTTGGAGGTCAAAGTCTGATACCTTTCTAAGCCTCAATCACTTTCCACCTTATTAAGACAGGGTCTCCCATCGAACTGCAGCTCATCAACTAGCTAGACTGGCTAGTCAGTGAACCCCAGGGAGAGTCCTGTCTCGACTTCCACAGTGCTGGGATTCCAGGAGCGTACCTCTACACCCAGATTTTGGGTGGGTTCTAGGAATCTGAACTCTAGTCCTTGTGTTTGTGTCATAAGTACTTTATCAGCTAAGCCATCTCCCCAGCCCCTCCCTAAACGTTCACTTGTTCACTTTGCTTCTTGCTCTCACGCTAAGTTTCCCTAAGACATGGCTTCCCCATTGAATAAAGAGCATTTTCTCCCATAACCCTTGCTCATCAGGCTTTCATCTCATTGCTACTCCTCAGTCATTTTCTTCCTCTTCTTCCTTAAAATCCTTAGGATCACACTGATCCATCAACCATCTCTCCTATTGGGCGTATGCTGACATTTACTCAGTTCTTAGCCACCAACTTTATTCCTTAAGGTCAGCTGCTGGTGACTGTCGTTACCTCATATACTACTTGTGACTCAGTCCTTTGGGTTTTCATTGTGTCTGCCTTGTCTCAGCCTCTCATGTCAGACCTTGGACTTTGTCGTTACCAAATTTCGAACTCTCACCCCAGCCACCAACCCTGCTCTTTCTGGCTCACTTCCTCTTTGCTGACTCCAGCAAACCTCTGATCCCACCAGAAGATATGAGCCGTGGCTCCCACGTCCCTCACTGCCACCTTGCCTTCGCCCGCTTTCTTATCTAGTTTAAATTCTGGAGTCCTTCATCTTAAGGACACCCTCCACATCCTCAACTCCTCATTCCCTCTCTTATTTGCCGTGTTTAACTTCTAGAATTGCAATTCTGGCTAAATCTAGCTTTCTCCATGGTCTCATCCCTACATCTGAGCAGTGTGAAGAAAAAGGTAACTGTGCTGACTGATCTGACTTTAGCTCACGACCACTAACTTTGGTTTTATTTATTTATTTTATTTATTTACTTATTTTTAATTTTATCTTTTTGAAGAAGGGTCTCCCTGTAGCATCAGCTGTCCTGGAACTCACTATGTAGACCAGGCTGGCCTTGAACTCATAGAGATCTGCCTGCCTCTGCCTCCCAAGTGCTGGGATTAAAGGCGTGCCCACACCCAGCCTATTTATTTATTTTTATTATATGTGTATGAGTGTTTTACCTGCACACATATAAGTGTACCATCTGCATACAATGCCTGTAGAGGTCAGAAGAAGGTGTTGAATCCCTTGGAAGTAGAGTTACAGAAGGCTGCTAGCGGCCATGTGGGTGCTAGGAAATGAACCCAGATCCTTTATATGAGCTGTCAGTGCTTTTAACGCTGAGCCACCTCTCTAGCCCCATCTTTCTTCTCTCTTAAAACAGCTCTACCTATGAGTAAATGTTAGGTGCTCTCATCCAGTCTCACAGCTTTAAATACATCTCTGTGCTGGCAAATCCCAAATTTGTATTTTAGTTCTAAGCTCACTCCTGAGGTATGGACATACATGTTTGTCTACCATATTGAGATAATGTAACAGGCTTCTTCACATACCAAAGTTCACATATGCAAAATGAATTTTTCCTTGAGAATCCTGGATTCTTCAAATATTTCGTGTATGGCTTCCCTCAGGTTTTGGGAGCTACTATTGCTCTACCTGGAATGTATACCCCATACACAGGGCAGTCTCTCTATAAACTACATATTGGATGAGGAATGAGTTGAACAGTGGTTCTAGGAATTCATTAGGTTCATCTGCCTGCTTTAAAGACCATGGAAAGGCCAGTGAGGTAGCTCAGCTAGGAAAGACACTTGCTGCCAAGCCTGAGACTCCTGTTTAATTCTTGGAACCCATATGATATACAGGAGGAAAGTCAAGTCCAGAAGGTTGTCCTCTGACCTTCATAAGTGTGGACACATGCAAACACATACAATAAGTAAGTGTAATTCAAAACTTAAAGACTATGTAAATTCCAAATATATATATATATATATATATATATTGGGTTCCTAGTTAGGATTATAAGGTACAACTTTATCCTTTCTATTGCACTTAACGTACCAAGTAAAGCCATTAATTAACCAAGAAAATAAGTTCATAAAATCCATTTGAAACCTTTCAGAGAATAATCTGTGAGGTGTGGCAGTAAACCCTGTCATCCCAGTACTCAGAAGGATCTCCAGCAGGCTAGCCTGGGCGACCCAAGTTCAAGGTCAGCCTGGGATACATAGTGAAGCCCTGTCTCATAAACAAAAACAAAACAAAATACAACACAAAAATTTTTCTAAACTATGCACTAATTTTCTCATTTTAATTTTTTAAAAAATTTAATTACTTATTTTTATTTTATGTGTATGAGTGTTTTGCCTGCACATATGTAAGTGTACCTGTGAGTCAAATGTCCATGGAGGTCAGAAGAGGGAGTTGGATCCCCTGGAACTGGAGTTACTGACAGTTGTTAACCATTGTGTGAGTGCTGGGAACTGAACTGAACCCTGGTCCTCTGCAAGAGCAGCCAGTGCTCTTAACCTCTGAGCTACCTCTCCAGCCCTCTCATTCTGAATTTTTAAGTGGTAACTTTTAGTCTAATTTATGAAATCTAATTTTAGATAACAAACCAAAGAAAAGGAACAGTCCAACTCCATTCTCTAAACCTTCTGCCTGCTGCCCAGGCTGGTCTAGAACTCCTGAGGTCAACAGATCCTCACCCCTCAGCCTCCTGACTGCTGGAATGACAGGTATATACTACCATGCCTGGATGCTGTCCTACTTTCTAAACAAATGTAATGGGAGGAGACTAATTTAAGAAATAGTTTATAATGAAGGGTATAAAATTTATAACTTTCTGGGTGTGGTGGTACATGTCTTTAATCCTAGCACTTGGGAGGAAGAGGCAGGTGGATCTCTGAATTCCAGGCCAGCTGGGGCTACAGGGAGATATTGTCACAAACAAACACACTAACAAAATTATAACATATATACCACTTTATAAATAAAAATAATGGAATCTAATTTAGTTGAGATCAAGAGTTAATTAAGAGCCAAGTTAATGCACTCCAAGTTAACATAGAAAGTCTAATTCTTTTCTGTTCAGTTCAGTAATCATTAACCTCAAATAATGGCTGAATAACAAAACAACAAAACTTCAACTGAAACAAATCTTAGTATAAATAAGCTATGCTAGCTCATGAAAACTTATGGAGATGACAGAACACTTTAGACACCATTTTTAAAAATTCATAACCAACACTGTTTATTAACATTCTGGTGTTTCTTAAATTCCGAGCTAACACTGTCGCTAATCATTATTACCTACTTAAAACAACCAAAAGGCTCTACTTTTTCTGAGGACGCGGCCAGTCTTTGTGAGAAGTACATTCAGAAAATTACAACATTCTACCTCCCACAATCAAAGGGAGGAAAAAGTCAATAAAATGTACATATAACTGTCATGTGTGCATAAGAATGTATGCTTGATAATCTGAAGTCTAATATTTCACTATTCTTTAACTGAGTCAAATATATACTTTTTGGCTCATCTATTCTGCTTTAATTTTTTTTTTTTTTTGAGAAATGTACTACTCCTCTATGGTGCTTGGTATGCATGTCACTAAACTTTAAATTTCTTTTATATCTGACAGCTTATCATTTTCTAGGATACATAAGACATTGTTCTTAAACCAAGAATAACATTTAAATTATGTACTACCTAAGAAAATACTTTCATTACTATATTTTAAAAAGCATATACAAATTCAAGCACTATTTCAAAATACAAACATGTGGACAGAAACATAAATACCTTTTTTTTCCTATTACATGTGTATAGGTGTTTTGCCTGCATGTATGTAAGTGCACCCGGTCATGCAATGCCTACAGAGGCCAGAAGAGGGTGTAGGATCCCCTGGAACTAGAGTTACAGACAGTTGTTAGCCACTATGTGGGTGCTGGGAATCTAACCCAGGTCTTCTGGAAGAACAGCAGGTGTTCTCAACACTGAGTCATCTTCCTAGCCCCAATATGTCAATGTCTTAACTGGTATTGATACTTAAATGTAAACTGGTTCACAGATTTGATCGGGGAACGCTTTATTAGTACAACTCCTCTTAATGTAAATAACAGCAGGTTCCCTTACAAGTTCTGCCAACTATTAATAAAGGAACCTGCAAAATCCTCTTCCCTCTTGTGTTACAGGCTACAGTGGATGATAAGTGGGCAGTTCCATACTAGGCATGTTCTCTGTGGCTCCTTCCTACAGCATGTGTCCTGAGGGAGAGATCCCTGGTGCTGAAGCTGGAATTGAGCAGCAGCATGGGGACAGATGTGTAGCTCTGCAGACCACTAATCACAGTGAGAGATGCTCACCAGCACAGATTGAGAAAGCAGCAAGGTGACAGATACTGTGAAAAAACAGCTTAGGTTGAGTGGATAAGGAAAGACAGCGATTACACAGGCATCAGAGCACAGGTGAAAAGAGGGTGAATGTAAGGCTATTTGTCTCCCTGTGCATGCCTTAATTTGAAAAAGATGAAAAACACTTAATTTATTCAAGAATCAAAGAAACCAAAGGTGTGGCCTGCAA